GGCCTTTTAAAAGACAGAAGAACAAGGGACACGCTTGTTTCTCTGTTCGTGCGCTCTTAAAGCGACTTAATTTTGTCTCGGTGGACAACTTAAAACGTTTTTTTTTTTCTTACTGCAGTTAAATTCTTTAAAGAAAAACTCGAGTTTCATATTCAAACAACACGCTCTCCCGTGCTGAAATAACATAACCAAATAACACAACAAATTCAGTTTCTCTATCTTTTACTCTATTTTTCCGGATAAAAATAGACCAAATTCATAATATTATCTTGGTATCATTAATTTTTCAGTCAAATCTTTTGCCAGCTTTCATTCTCCACCATATGTAAGGAATTTTAACTCAGTTGTAAGGGAATTAATTATTATTATTGATTCAGGTTTTGATAGGACTCGGATTTGAAGAGCCTAATTCAACCTGATTCGAATTGATTCTAAATTTGATAGTTTACACTCTATCAGCTACTCGGCCAGCGAGAAGTTGATGTCAGTGTATATTACCAATTGAATATGTAAATTTTGTATTCTCCCTGGCCACGGGTGAAATACAATTATGATAATTTGTAAGCTCTTAAAAGAGAGAGGTAATCATTATCAGTAAGCCACGAGCTAGGTAGCAAACAAGGGATCTTTTTGGCAATAGTTTTAACCTTGAAATTATATGACACCAGACAATTGATTATTTATAAATGAAACATGAAATTTTATTGGCTATTCTAGATTACATCACACTAAGCTAAAACACACAAACACACAAACATACAGTTTCAGAGGAAGGAAATTATGTTAGCGGAGTTCTGAGTTTCATAGTTCTACCTCGTTTTCACGAGTGATGTAAATTCGCCTTAAGAATTTCCAAAGCAGAGAATTTCGTCTTAAATTTTACTGCTTATCTAAATTCACCAGTTCAGCAGATTAGAGAGTTAGTTGTTCGTTTACTTGCGTTCTGCTAGTTGACAGCTGATGCGGGCTTCCGGGATGTCTTTGAGGGAACCCCGTTACTGGTTGGTCGCTGAGGTGACGTCGGAATGACGTTTGAATGACGTTCTTTTGGAAAACCCCTCGTTGATCGGTTGGTCTTTGATGAAGCAGAGGCTTGAGCAGTTCTGCTGAACGTCTGAGTTTGCAAGACTTTAAGTTCTGTGAAGATTTCACGAAGTATCACTGAAGTGTTGAGTTTTAGATGGCTGGTCGCTTTGATGGTAAACGCGTGAGCACACGTGGGGGCTCTAACACGGCGACAGGTGAGAGCAGGAGAAACCGCAAGCAAGCTAGCACTCGAGTCTGTCCCGTATTGGGTTTTTGTTTCGCTGCATAAGTCCGTCCCCCGACGCGATCTTCCAATCGACTTCTTGCGAGGCGGAGCGTGCATACATTAACAAGAGACTTCAATTCATCACATGAGGACATCATCTATAAGAGTTGTGTTAATACTCCTATAAAGTCTCTTAAAGGCAAGTATTGTACACACTATTAAAGTTTACTTCATTTCAACATTCTGCATTTATCGTTTCCATTCGTTCAAGATTAAACTTCACATATTACACACATTTTAATATCCTCATTTCCTAGAAAGGGGTAATAAACACTGATTACAGTTACACCGATTAAATGAACACCTCAAGCATATATATATGTAAGACATACAACATATTATTTGTGAATTTATGCTCTGATAATTTTATACTTTCAATGATTAGCAAGATTGTCAAAGAAATCTTGTCTCTTTCCTTTGGAATGAAAGGGGGAAAAGAGGAGGTGTCCTGGGGTCATGCTCGTGTCACGAGTGTGAGAGTCTGCCATGTTTCTCTTGGACAGAGCGTTCTTAATCTGCCACTTTCTGTTTATCGGATTTAACAATTTATGCGTTGAACAGTCATGGGTATCACGCATCTGGTCCCTGAAAGCCCGTAAAACGCTTTTAAGCACTGTGAAAGCACTGTCTTTTATTAGCGTCTCTTGAGAGATAGCCAAACAGTCCAGGAAATGCTTCAAACCTTCACTGACCCTGCATGAGTTTTACGACCGCAGCTGGTAGGATAGGAGATCTTTGATTTGTCTCAATGGAATGTGAGGGTTTGATGCGTGTCTCCATCCTGTAGGTTGGTCTGTTGTGAGACATAGATCCTACATTAGATTGAAGCAATTCATCTACACTTTGACTGCATATATACAAGCCTAGTAACCTGGTGGTCATTACTGTGTTTCACTCGCTGAGTGAAATTGAATGTGTAATACTGTACTTTAGTATTCATGTGTGAGGCACACATAACTACATGTATGTTTAAACCGGTTTTAACTTACAGTAAACCCGTTTTGGTTATTCTTTAAACAAGTGCAATAAGTTTATTGTTAAATTAGAGAAGCACTCACAGAAGTGCTTATTTAATGCAACAAGTCTTGAAGGACTGAAAGCACCACATTCTAAAACTGTGGGCAACTTTTTTAAAATAGGCAGACACTAAACTGTTTGAATTGCACTGGCATGCATTGGTTACCATGACAATGACTTGTCACAGGAAGTGCTAACTCCACATAGCACACGCGTCACCTGGTGATGCCATGTAGTAAACAAACCACCTTACGCGGCTAAGCTACCTTAGCATAGTTTCATCTTAGGCTAAGCTACCAAATAGCTTTGACAATTAGGGGTTAGCACCCTTTACTTGACGCTTTTAAATACAGCATGTGTGTATGCAGTGTGAAGTAATTTGAATTTAACCTAATCCCTGGTTTCTGATTTTTCACTTTCTTTTCGCTTATATGCTTTCAAGTGGAGACTTTTTGCCTCTTGGTGTAGACAGCGCACTCTAGATCCAGTCCATTGCCCCACTGGTTCAGTACTGGAGCTTCTTCAAAGTTGTTTTTCTGAGGGAGTTACCCCCGCCACTCTTAAGGTGTACGTGGCGGCCATATCGGTGGGGCATGCACTCGTGGGAGGTGTTTCAGTTGGTCGCCACCCCCTGGTCTCCCGTTTTATGCAGGGTTCGAGATGGCTTAGGCCTTTCCGCCCAGCACAAGTTCCTTCTTGGGACTTATCGATTGTTTTGGAGGGCCTGACAGGCCATCCTTTTGAGCCGTTGGAGTCTGTGTCAGAGGAGCTCTTGACCCTCAAGACGGTTCTTTTGGTGGCTTTATCCTCCCTTAACAGGGTAGGGGATCTGCAGGCTCTCTCCATCAGCCCTTTGTGTATGGACTTTGCCCCAGGGCTGGTTAAAGTCTTTTTGCGACCTAGGCCTGATTATGTTCCTAAGGTCTCTCTTTGGCTTATGAGGCACGTGGCTTGACTTCGCCTTTAGGGGTGCGTGCTCATTCTACAAGAGCAGTGGCTTCTTCTCAGGCCTTCTTCAAAGGGTCCTCGATGGAAGATGTTTGTGCTGCGGCAGGATGGTCCTCTCCTAGCACCTTCATCAAGTTCTACAGTCTGGACGCTAGAGC